AGCCCAGTCTGCTCTGATTGGTCAGCTGGTCAGGATGCTTTTATCTTACAAAGCAAAACAAGCAGCGTACAAATAACCCATGAGACGTGTTTTATGGACAAAATCTGATGCAAATTGGATTTCGTACTAAGAACCGTCAATGATTTCCTCTCCGAAATGCAAAATACCTGCAAAGTCACAAAGCTTCTGCCACACAGAGCCGGAAAACTGATCACAGGAGCAGTCAGTCAGAGAAGGAGCCCCAAATACCTGGAAGAGGAGATCAGGGAAAGATATTCAAGATGGAGGAAACTAGTATAAAAAAACAGTGCTTCCTTACAGCAGAGGTAACAGACCAATGTTTAATGCAACAATGGAAAGAAATGCTGTTATCAGCCTCTGTAATATGGAGGTCTTCTCTGTTTTATATCAAATCAAAGTGAATATCCGTGGGTTTAGACCAGGGGTCGGCAACCTTTTTGACATGAAGTGCCATTTAAAAAAAAAATTGTTATCAGCGTGCCAACGATCGAGAATTATCGGGGGGGGGGTCGAGGAGCTTGACGCTCGTCAACTATCAACAGGAGGGCGGGGGAGCCTCGCAGTGTGTGGACCTGTCAGCGCAACTTACATGATGCCGAATTTAACAAGCAAATTTAAATAATTGGTTTAAACGGCATAATAATAAGGACGATCATCCGTTCTGTGATTCTCCAGAACACACATGTTATGATTATGCAGAGTGAGATGAGATCGTTGTCCCTTTAAGAGAGAGAGAGAGAGAGGTGTGTGGCTTGTGCATGTGTGTGTGTGGATGGTAGAGCGACAGTGAGCGAGAGATGTATTTTGTGAAACAGAAGAACAGCTAAATAAATGCAACGGCCTCCCAAGAAGAGCTCGCCTCTCTCCAGTCATTTAATCTAAAGTGGGTTATTGAACCTGAAGCTTGTTGCTTCTGCCCTCCTCGACTACGGTCTGGGAGCCGACAGGAAAGTTCAACACACAGATGGCCAGTCCGCCCCTTTGTAGCATATTATTTCGATGAGAGATGAGCAGATCGCCACTGGGCTTTCAACTAAATACACAGCCACGCAAAAACTGCGGCATTTGTACAGCTCCTTATGGGTACTGCAATTAGTGAAGTGCTTTCCTCTGTGGGGAAACGATCAGCACTGCACTGTGGCACGCGTGCCAGGGGGTTGCCGACCCCTGATTTAGACTAACACAAATTATTCTAACCTGTTGGTGTGAAAGAGTGGCTTCTAAATATCCTGCACCCATCCCGAGTAATGGTAGTGATAAAAGTAAAATTAATTGTTATGCAGAATAGTTGTTAGTTTAAACTGTTGACTCCTGTGGAGCCCGATGCTTCTAACTGGTTGTTACGATGCTTGATATTCCTTCAGGTCAAACCAGGAGATCCAAACCTACGCCATCGCGCTCATCAACGCTCTCTTCCTGAAGGCACCAGAGGACAGACGGCAGGTCAGTACACAGTGTACTTTATTAGAGAAAAGACAGAATACGCATAATAGATAGATATAGCTAGAATACTAATGATGTTCTGTGCTCACATTACGCTCTAAATAAAGACACCCATACATAATGGACTGACATTTATTCATAATACCCGCATGTTAGGAAGCTGCAGATATTGCCTCACCCTTAGTGCTGATATATGCAGCAGCAGGTTGGTTACTAAAGCTAATCTCACGAATTAGACGTCTGTCTGCCAGCTGTCATGATTATATCCGACAGTCACTGCTGTAATGACACACTCACTCGAAATAGGACTCGTTCTCCTTTGAAGTTTGCACTTTTGTTATGCTGCAGTTATTTCAGGATAGCTCAGCACAGGAGACCAACTGAAGGATGACTGTGCCAAATAGACAAAGAGTTGGATAGGATCCGAGCAGAATGCAGTGATTAAGTATTCATTTGCTAAATTCAGTGAAATGGTTTTTTTTTAAATATTAAACTTTGATTTGAATCAATGCCAGACAGATTTACACTAGAGTTAAGAAAATCCACTGGGATGATTAATTAAACCTGGCATTGTTCCCAAGATTTAACAAATGTAACATGAAGAATTATCCATATAACCAAAATATACCAAGATGTAAGTTTAAGTTCTGTTTTTTTTTTTTTTTTTTTAAATGACAGAAACATCTCAAACAGATGCTTTCTAATTCTGAAAGATCTTTGTAGCGAGCAAAATGTACAAAGATGAAAGGAGCGAGTGCTGCTTTGGATGTGTGTCCAGTGTGCTACTCATAACTGTCGTCATGTGTCCTTTGTCTCCGCTCTGTGATAACCTCTGTCCCAGCTCACACACTAGCATACAGCTGTGTCTCATCCTGTCTCATGCATTGTCATTAGTGCTGCACGGCTTTCTTTACATTTCAGTTCTCCATGTTTAATTTGTAAGACCATTTTTACAATAGAAACTTCAAAGCCTTGTTTTATTATTAAGCTCTTCTATACTAAGTCAACAATGAAATTGGAGAGGATTAAAACAAATGTAGTATATTAATAATTGACATCCAGCACAATTCATTTTCACTTAAATATAACCATATAAAGTAATGTAACTTTAAGTGTCATACAAATATAATTTGAAAACCATTAATTTGCAGCTATCTACTAACATATGATTTCATTTTTCCGTTTCCCAGAATGATTTTCCAACAACACAATTACAGAAGTTCTATTTTGGTTGGCATCATCTCTCTTAGCTGTGTTTCTATCACAAACTCAACTCTTTGCCCTTTGCATTTCAGAATTCAGTATCCAACCAAATGCAACAGTTTTAGTATATTACAAGTAGAGCTAAATACGTGCAGGAAAAGATACAACAGAGATGACAAATGCCTTCAATGCAAATGTTTGACAAATAGCTATGTGAATGCTGCTCATGTTGGCTTTCCTTTTGTTGACATTCCAAACACTTTGATCAAACATTTTTGTTGTAATCACTTGCCAACTTAAGAAAATGTTAAGATTTCACTGATTTGTGCTTAAGAAAAGCCTCCATTGACTGACTGCTAAGCTTGTGTTTGTTGACGAAGCGTTGGATGACATTGTGAGAAGAGGAGGGGGAGTATTTCCCTAAATGTTATTGAGTGCTCTAATTTCCTTTCAATGTATTTGCCATATGACGCACAGTATGTTCAGACAGTTGTCCTTGAACGTGCATTCACCTCCAGCTGCCTTTGTTGACCACTTGAGGGCGACTGAGTCACTTATTTTGAGATAAACACAGCAAAGGGACACAAAGTGCATACTGTCGAACTGCTAGCTAACAAGATTAAAAATAAATACATCGATAAATAGAGTGGAGCTCCTTTTGAAAAATTAAATAGATGTTTTTTTTATCACATCTTTGCATATTTTATAGTTTTTCAACTGAAAGAGACTTGTTGAAAATGCAGCATTTCAGGAAGCAGAGCTGAGCAACATTTTGAACATTAACACTAGAGCAAATCCTCCGCAGATTCAGGTTGCAAGACGTCCCTATAGGGAGCTATCAGGACACAACAGTGAATTTCATGCAAAAATAGTGTTTTAAAGCTCCACTGCTTCTCTGTGTTGATATCATTTCACAGCTCCTAGGTTTTTGAAATGTCTTATAAAACAAGTCTAATCAACCAATTAACGTATAGTGGTCTTATACTGCATGCCGGCCATGTGGAGTTTTTTAAACAGCTACATGTTGTGTCTACCGGACGTTCCTATTATGCTGTTTTATGTTCTTATTTCGTTGCATGCTGTGCCGGTGATTTTTCTCTGTATCTCATTGTCCGTGTGTGCGCTCTTTGTTTCCATCACTGTTACACCCACGTCCCTCCTCCCTCCCTTCAACCTGTAGGAGGAGTATACTAACCCGCTGGAGCAGCCCCTCACTGTGAGTACACATCCCTCAGCATCTCATACCCTCCTCTCCACACCTCAGCCCTTCTCCTCCTCCGCTCTGTATTTCTTTCTGTGTCACGGACAGCTTGCTGCAGCTGCAGGCAGACTGTGTTGACAGATTGGAAATGTTGTTCAGAATGTGTGAAGGGCAGATGGTTGAAGCCAGGGATGGAAATGTAGCTTTTTTGAGTGATGCTGCATTTCACTAGTTTGACATTTCAATTCACTGTAGGTCAACTTGAGTGAAGTTACTGCTGTGTGCACTGCTTTACCGTGTAATGAAGCTACCTCCCTCATCTGGCCTGTGTGTCGAAATAATGCATCTCTTTACCTTTTAGGAAATGGCAAGCACTTTGGCTCAGAAGCACCTGCGATCCATCATCCTCAATGTGAGTATGAAGTCTGAAATGGAATTCTGAAAGTCTTTCTGGCTATAACAGCTGCACATCAGAGTTAATGCCCTTCTCTACGGGCTATAAAGCTTTTCGACGGCTTTGAAATATCCAGGTGTGAACACAGGATTCGAGCAGTTTCCAGAAATTGTGTTTGAAACTAGTGGCTGTAAAAAAACTTCAACAAAAATCTCTTCAACCTTCTTTTGACTATCCAATGCTGGGATTTGGTGGTCATTGTGGGGCTATAAGTTTCATCCCAGGGACCCCCAGTTCAGAAAGTGGAAACTCACTCTAAGTTACTTTAGTCACTTACACGGCTGTGACAGAAAACCAGCAAATGCGATATGGCATGAAATCTTTGAAGTGGCAGAAAAGGAAAATGATTTATTTTGGCACCCGTTCTTCTGGAAGTGCCTGCATGTGGTTGCACACATCAGTGAGGAAGACCTGTTGGAGTCTTGCTGTGTGTTTTATAAAGCCAGATCATTTTCTTTGTCATTATGCATTATTCACAGAGCGTAATAACTCTATAAAGAGGATTAGAATGATCAGCTTTCTTCCTATCTTGAGGAAGCAACAACCTTTGGTTTCTCTCCAGTGGAGGCGAACAGTATATTAGGCTGTTAGATTAGTTTTGTGTTGTGTGTTGTTTCAGCAGTTTGTACACATTGTAGCCAAAATAGAGGCGTTACTCTCTAAAGAAATTAGAGGCTTTACTCTTTCCTTATTGCCAATCTTTCTTTTCTCAGCATGTGATCAGAGGAAATCGACCAATCAAAGCAGAAATGGCACACCAGCTGTATGTGCTGCAGGTATTGACCTTCAACCTCTTGGAAGAACGGATGATGACCAAAATGGATCCCAATGACCAGGTGAAAAATGAATGTTCTGTTTGACATGACAACGGCTTATATATTCCTATAATGCCTTAGTTTAACAAACATAATAAGGGAATTCAAACCAATTCCTTTTAGATGTAATGAAAGATCTATGGTTTAAATTACATCGTTATTCAACAATGATCAAATGGCGAACATTTTTATTTTTGCTGCTATCTTCCTTAAAATGTCCCTTTTTTATGCTGATAACGTGTTTTCTTCGCTGGGGTTCAGGCTCAGAGAGACATCATTTTCGAGCTGCGTAGGATTGCTTTCGATGGAGAAAATGACCCCACTGGTACAGAAAAGAGAAAGGCCATGTACACCAAGGACTATAAGATGCTGGGGTTCACTGTGAGTCTCCACTATATCAGTGTCCTCTGTAGTACCTGTAAAACCAGCTCTATAAATATATAATAATAAATATAATTTAGATTTTGCTGTCTCATGGCTCATGTTATTTCTGTTTCAAATGCAGAACCATGTGAATCCAGCCATGGACTTCACCCAGACTCCTCCGGGAATGCTGGCTTTGGATAACATGCTGTACCTCGCCAAGGTTCACCAGGACACGTACATCAGGGTTAGTTTTGGCCTTTATTTGACTTTGCACATCTCACAAAGGTGGTGAAGTCAGCCAAACCCAACATGTCTTCTCACCCATGACAGATTGTGCTGGAGAACAGCAGCCGCGAGGACAAACACGAATGTCCCTTCGGCCGGTGTGCCATCGAACTCACTCGAATGTTGTGCGAGATTCTCCAGGTTGGAGAATTGCGTAAGTAGATCTCTCTCTGAAAGAGTTGGAGCTGTTGTACTTTTAATAATCTACAATCTTAAAAAGTATCAGCAGTTGTTACTCCAGTCCAGGACATTGTGTGTGAAAGAAGAGAAAGTCTGTTGTACTAATTTCCTGTCTTCTAATTTAATATTTTCTTTTTTGTAGCTAATGAGGGATGTAATGACTACCACCCCATGTTCTTCACTCATGACCGGGCATGGGAGGAGTTCTTCTGTGTCTGCATCCAGCTGCTGAATAAAACCTGGAAGGAGATGCGAGCCACAGCTGAGGACTTCAATAAGGTCTGAGATTTAAGCATATATTTAAATAGTTACACTCCCAACTTGATTGTGTACTTGCCTCCCATCTTAGGCCTCAATCGTCATATTTTATGATGTCATGACCTTGTTATTGTGGTTATATAAAAAAAAAAATATGACGCTGTTAGAATGCCCAATTAATAGAGGTGCCCTTTGTGTGTCAATTGGTAGACATTTTTTATTGACAGCAGCGAACATTTTGTTTTTGAAAAGCTAAATATGTATTGAAGTAAAACATTTATTGAGATAGAATTGAAATCTGAAGCTTTAGCAGCTGCTATATTCCTCCACTGTGTGTGGGTGAGCAGCCCACTGAGGTAGAGAGCTGGAGGTCTTTTGTTTAGGTAACATATTGGACCATTATATTCCAAAGGCTGTCTATTTGGATTCAAAGTATTTTTTCGAGCTGATAACAGACAAGTATTTGAAGGGCATCCAACTCAATGGTTCAGAACACCTGGGACTATCTAATATATATCCCTAACATCTATGCCTTTTGATGGGGAAATATGTCTGGCGGCATTATCCGTTTCAGAATGCAAATTAAGGTTTCATTTCCAGGGCAACTAAATAATAATAATAATAATTATACACATATTTTGTAAGCACTTTTACAGGTGCTCAAAGTCGTTTTACAGAGGTAGTAAAAAAAGGACAACAAATAAATATATTAAAAGTCATATTAAAATCGAGCAATAAAACAACAATCACACATTAAAGGCCAGTTTGAAGAGGTGAGTTTTTACGTTTTTTTGTACGTTTTTTGAAGGTGGTGAGGTCAGTGCAGTCTCTGATGAGTTGTGGGAGTGAGTTCCAGAGGGAGCTTATACAATATTCACTGTTCTCTAAAAACGAATGCAGATATATCTAATAACATTAGACGTCCCAGCTGATGAAACATACATTTCCTCAATATTTAGGAAGTCTGATATGTTTTTTGTAACTTTTCCTTATGCATTCGTATATGTGTGTGTTTTAACCTTGAGCAGGTGATGCAGGTGGTTCGTGAGCAGATCACCAGGGCTCTGGCGATGAAGCCGTCCTCTTTAGACCAGCTGAAGAACAAGCTGCGAGGCCTCAACTATTCAGAGATCCTGCGTCTGCGGCAGTCAGAGAGAATGAGTCAGGACGACTTCCAGTCTCCTCCCATCATGTGAGTTTGTAGATAATATAAAATACAGTGAATATAACAGGGTTGTACGCAGTTGTGTGTGTTTTTCCATATTGGTCATGCTGTGTTTGTCCTCCAGTGAGCTGCGGGAGAGAATACAGCCCGAGATCTTAGAGCTCATCAAGCAACAGCGACTCAACCGCCTGTGTGAGGGGAGCTGTTTCCGGAAGCTGGGGAACCGCCGAAGGCAAGGTACCTACAGCATCAATACAATCACTTTGCTGTGTCTTTAGCTGAAGCTTCACTGATGTATGTTGATTATCGGCTAAGCATTGTGTCCCCTGCCTCTTTTGTAGAGAAGTTTTGGTTCTGCAGACTCTCACTCAATCACAAAGTGCTGCATTATGGAGACCTCGATGAGTCCCCTCAGGGTGAAGTGCCTTTTGAGCTACTCAGTGACAAGAGTAAGATTTATTTCTTCAAGTGGCTCCGTCTCCCAACTCATAAACGTTTCATTACACACACAATGCCACATTCACTAGTAGTGCAGACTGGCTGACCTTATTCACTTTGCTTATTATTAAGTTGTTTTCTTTTCTATTCATCTCAGTCCCCGTCTCTGACATCAAGTCTGTGGTGACTGGGAAGGAGTGCCCTCATATGAAAGAAAAAAGTGCTCTCAAACAAAACAAGGTAATGTGATTTTAATTAGTTTTTTTTGTTGTTCTATTCACATGGCTGTTTCCCTTTTCTTTGCACTCAATGAGCGTGTTGTTTGTCCCTTTTCCTTCTCTCAGGAGGTGCTGGAGTTAGCCTTCTCTGTCCTCTATGATCCTGATGAGACACTCAATTTTGTGGCACCCAACAAGTATGAGGTAAGCTAAGCAGATGTGACGGTTAAATTATAAATAATTCTTCTTAGCTCCAAGCACCATTTTAGTGTCCTTCAGCTCATTGTTTTGGTCAGACACAACTTTACTGTTTTGTTTCACTCTGACAGGCTTACATCAACTTATGTTACAGCTGTAGATAGAAGCTATTTTCAACAGTTTGCCACCTGCCTCAACAGCAAAAGCTGAAAGACACAGTTAGTATTTAGCTAGGTTAGAGCATTTAGCAGCTGAAGACAATTATCTGTATCAAGAGTTGGGCGGTCCCCAAACCAGAGCTAACAAGTATAATAAGAACCATGCAAGTTCAACTTTACTCGTGTATGATATCTGCATTAACCAAGACTTCTAATCGACTAACTAAACCCTAACTTGTGTGTGTGTGTGTGTGTGTGTGTGTGTGTGTGTGTGTGTGTGTGTGTGTGTGTGTGTGTGTGTGTGTGTGTGTGTGTGTGTGTGTGTGTGTGTGTGTGTGTGTGTGTGTGTGTGCGGCGTGCGTGCGTGTGTGTGTTTTTGATGTTTTCGGAGCAGTACTGCATCTGGACCGATGGCCTGTGTGCGCTGCTGGGCAGGGAGATGGGCAGCGACCTGACGCGCAGTGACCTGGATACTCTCATCAGCATGGAGATGAAGCTCCGCCTCCTCGACCTTGAGAACATCACAATCCCAGAAGCCCCGCCCCCCGTGCCCAAGGAGCCTAGCTCGTATAACTTCACCTACAACTACAGCTGAGATGCGTGTGTGTGTGTGTGCAGTGAATGTGTGTGTTTGTCAAGGATGAGTATTCTTTGATGAATTAAGCTGCCGTGGAAAATACTTTTTTTTACTTTCAGAACCCTGGAGACTTTTCTCCACCTGTGTTTGTGATGCTGTATGGTTTGACAAATAGGAGATGTTTATAGCATCACAGGGAGTTTAGAGGTCATGGTCCACTACAGAGCCGCCGGTCAGGATTCATTGAGTGTTTCTCCTTTATCAGTGCCATTTCCAGGCAACGTCTACCCATTTCTAGCCATTTAAACTTATAAACTTGTCTGTAAAGTCAAGGAATACTTTGCCTGATTGGGGACATAAATGAAAGCTGTACAAAACTGCTATTTAGTCTTTGTTCAAGTATTTTATTCTCATTCTGTGTTGTCTCCATGGCAACAGAAAATGAATAAGCTTACCTAACCAGTTAGGATTCTTTGTTCTCTTTGATTCGGTCTGTCCCTTCAGACAGACTTACAGTGAAATGTGACACAAAGTAGAGGGAGTGGGCCGAGAGTTTGCACAAGTGATATTCAGCTGGTGTCGTGATCAAGGTCGCTTCAGTAGGAGGGATCGTTGATGTCAGGGGGGATCGAACATAACTCCCTAATCAGTACACCATCCACCACCCCTTCGAGGTCTCATAAATGTTTAATATCTGACGATCAGTTCAGTGTTTCAATAGAAAGGTTCGGAAATTCAGTAATAAAGAGAGCAGGAAACATAAAGTGTCAACTTGTGTAAGGCAGAAGCAGATGAGCTCTAATCTCAGTGTGTCTCATACTGGGACATGAATTCATGAATCTTTTTTTTTTTTTTTGATCTATAACATAACATGAATAATTGAAAATGATTCACCGGGAGTAATGTTCTTAAGTTAAAGCTCTAAAATTAGTTGTTTAGTCTGACTAATGTTTTGCAAACCCAAAGCAATTTTAATTTCTATTAAGAAAAAAACCAGCAGATACCAATATTCGAGAAGCTAGGACCAGTAAATGTAGGTGTTCTTTCTCTTTCTTAGAGGAATCTTTCGTAAACAATGAAGTGTTTGTCGTTTTTGCAGAATTAATGCCTGTCCAGCAACTTGTCAATTATTACTCTACATGTTTTCAGATGCACTAAAGTGGTGCTGTCAGCTTATATATTTTCTTGACATTCGTGCTGCTTTAAATCACTTCTCTCCTTAGACTACAAACCTTTTATAGTTTGTAAAACAGTGAGAAGAAGTGGGTAAATGTATCTCATTGAGAAGCTGTTCTGCCGTAAAGAGTGTACATTTGTGTGTACACATATTTGAGATTTAGTGGTAATTGTTTATGTTGAGAGATATTTCGCGAGTGTATCACCAAATGCTGGGCTAAAGCTCCCACATCCAACACACTATAAAACATGAATTACCTTTTTTTATTCATAGTCACTGCATTGCCTTATCACTCAGTCGTTATATATATTTAGTAACATTAGCATTTATAAGGTGGTACCTGAATTATACTTTAATGTGTGTTGAAAACATTGTTGTTATTATGACTTCCCCTGAGAAGCATTCATAAATGGCGTATAAACGGTTAATCAATGTTTGATAACAGCAGTTCACTTGAAATAATATGTAATCATTTTTTTTTAATAGTTACATATTTTTTCTTTATTAGCTCACATTATTACATAATTTAGGAACTCTTAATATTAACTTTTTACATTAAGAGCAAGATTAAAACTATTTTTAGATGTAATTAAAACCACTGAAAATATGAATATGTATGATTACGACGAAATGTTCTGTTGTGTTATCAAAAATAATTAACTGTTAATACAACTATAAATATGAAGAGTAACAGTTGTTAACAAATACATTATTAAACACAGATATTAGCAGTTTTTTTTTTTTGAAGAACAAATAAAATTCAAATGTGTTTGACGCCCCTTTTAAAGGTCACCTATTATGCGAAATCCACTTTTTCATGTCTTTTATACATACATTTGTGTCCACTCGGTGTTGAGATTTGGAAAGTTTGAGGAAAACATATTCGCTCTCTTTTAGTCCTGATCCATTTATATAAAAACCTGTCTGAAAATGAGCTGATCAGATTTTGGCCACTTTATGATGTGATAACAATGTTTTGGCTTGTGTAACCATTAGCCAATCACCAACCAAGGTAACACCCCCCCCACACCTTATCACCTGAATCTCCTCCTAGAGCACCAATGTGTTCTTTTTAACCAAATATCTCGCAGAGGGGCGTGGGGAGCATTAGTTCATTTTCATTTAAAGCTACAGATACAGAATCAGCACTTTTGAAACAGGGCTGAGACAGAGGGGTTTATGGGATGCTATAGCTCATGATCTGTTTGGTATTTCTGCCAAACACTTCAGAGGCATGTTTTGTTCATATCTGAGACCTATAATGTGTTGTTGAAAAAGAGTATAATAGGGGACCTTTAAACTTCTATTAATCAGCCGTTTCAGGCTTGATATTGTATTGTTTTATTCATACTGCATAAAGGAATGGGAGCAGGTCAGAAACAGCTGAGTGTCATGTGCGTGAGAATTGGGAACATCTAGTTCAGCTCATGTAACATATGACCAGAACGTAGTTGTGCTCTGTACAGTAAAGTGATATACATTATAGTGCTATTGTTTGATGTTGTTTTACCAGAGCGTCATTGTTTTGTGTATTTTATTCATGTCACTGTCAACTATCAAATGTACTAATCACTACTGTCACTTGTTAATGCAGAATAGATTTATATTTTTGTAAATGATTGTACAATCTTAACAGCTGTGAAGGGAAAGGGTATCCAGCTAACAGCATTTTCCCTTTGCGTCGCTCTGTACGGTACATTCAACACGCTCATTACTGTGGAAGGGCATCTCACACTGGAAAGAGCTTTTGATCTTCACAATTTTTAAAGTCACAACCACGTTTTCATACTACAAGCACCTCATATTCTTAGGAATGACACCCACTCCAGCACCTAATGATGATGTCAGTGTTAATGTATCTTATAATGCTTATGGAATAATGAAAATTGCCGTTACTGTTGATGTTTGTGAAAAGGAATATATTTGAAAATAGCTTTTTTTCGGAAAATGTTTTTGCTGTCTGATTTTTAACTGATGTTGAATGTTAGAAAGGTACCCTGCGGAGATTTCAGACCATGAGTTGTTCTGGGGATCTATTTTTCTTGATGTTACTGCCTGTTGTTTTTTTCTTGTTCACACAAACAAGGGAACACATGCAGTACACTTTCCAGCTAATAGCTTTACGATATTTCACTGTTCAACAGGTGGCTTGGTAAATCACCAAGAAATACAGCAATGTGCCAGAAAAGGACGTAGTGTTGAGCAAGCTATTAAAACTGTACTGGAGTTAAAATACTTAAATAAAATATAAAATCGACCTTGCTAAAGTATTGTGAACTGTTATATGACCTTGGCTATACATACGTTTTGTTTGTTTACTAGAAAACTCCACAGGGCCTCCTTTTTACTGCCTAAAAAAGGTTATTTATAATTCAGCAAGTCATTTAACTACTGCTAAAATATATCAATAAATTCCGAAAGTAAGTGAAGGATTGTTGCATTGGATGTACTAACAGTATGACTTGAAGTTTACGCATCTGGTACTCTTTTAAATGACTTGCTAAGCTATTTATTTACACTTGCTAGGGATAGTAAAGAATGACGTGTTGTTAGATAAGAAATAACAACATAAAATCTAAATATGGTATACATATAAATCATTGATGTATTGTGTTGCCTTATTAAAGAAATTGTATTATGTTTTGTGTGAATAAATACAGAGTCTAACTGCTGTTGACAATTTGTTTTTACTTTTTATATAGGGATTATGAAGCTTAAAAACAAATTCACCAACAATTACATCAATTTCACACCTTTGATACACAAAAGCTCTAATTAGGCCATCATTTTTATCGTTGGTTAAAAGGATATCAAACCTACAGCACAATATAATATCCAACACAATTTTGTAAATCAACTCCAGCTGAATTTATATATGTGTCTTGGTTAGAGAAATCAATGTTTTATTTTAGATCGATATTCCATGTGCCACAGCTCGGGAAAGAAGCATTGTTTGTGAGTACACACAATGAGAATTTCATACAGAAAAACCCTCTATGTGAGATTTTTACTTGAGTTGATTTACTGCATGTCTTTAGTTAGAATTTCTCAGTTTCAGATATTGTCCAGCAGGGGACACACAGTGTCTTGTGTTTACTGTATAGGTGTCAGATATCCTGAGATATTATCATACTCCTACAGTGGAGTAATGCCAGCTGCATACAGATAAGCAACTGCAGGTGAATCCCTAATATGCTTTTAATTGTACGTATAGAGTTTAAGGTCTCTCATCTGTCATGCTATATTCACACCATGTTTGAGACAAGAAGAACTTAAATAGACAGTAAAATTGTGTAAATTAAAAAGATTTTATTGTATAATAGCTCAAAATAGAGTTTAACACAATCACTTTTAGACCACTTAAATGCTGAAAGAAGATACGGGGAGTTCGGGAGGAAGTCAGGATGAGTTTACTGTATAATGTAATCCACATGACAACCCAGTTTAAGGTAGTGAAAGCTAAGAAAAAAAGGATGTTTATATCAATTAGGGATTTCTTTCAGTTTATGTCTCAAGACAGTTTCATCTGCTCAGAGAGAGAATGGTTGATTCTGTGGACATGTAGACAGGAAACAAGACGGACACTCTGGAGATTTGGACTGCTCACCTCTGCAAATATCCGTCACTGGCTTACATAATGTCATCTTTCATTTCAGTCCATCGACAGCTCAGTCATTTGTTCCTCCTTAGATCCCTCACTGTGCTGCAGCACTCGGATTGTCCACTTGTATTTCCCTGGTTAGGGTTTGGGCATTTACAATACAACTTTACACAGAAATAATGTCAATATATATTTTATATGGTATATAAAATAAATACAAATCTCTTTCTACATCAATTAATGAATTCATGACTCCTCTCTTTAAGCTGCGATTTACAAGGTAATATTTGACATTATCTATGTGTGTGTGAGTATATCAGTGTTTTTGTCTGTATTTGATAAGCACAAACATAACTATCTCAGCAGTCATGATGCAACAGCAGTTCCTCACTCTGTTTCGGCTAATGTGCAGTGCTTCCGTCTGTATGATTGATGATCAGAACTTTAGGACTTTTGACTTCCTTGAGGATGGTACTGTTGTGCTTTCCTGCCCCCTCGCCAGGCTCATTGTCCCCTCCCTGGCCTGCCAGCAGCAGCAGTATGAGTGCGAGGAGCAGTAGTGTGACTGCGGTGGAGGTCAGCTCTGGGCTTAGCTGCAGGCTGGGCTGAGGCTCTGGGACATCCTTCGTCCTGAAAGAAACACACTGAGACTTTCTGCTCTCTCTTGATCTCCTGCTGGCACGCTTTGCACCCTCACTGATCCCTAAATGCAGACACACTCTGTAAAATGTCTCCGCCTGAAGGTGGGTTAGGTTGAAGCTCTGTGTACCAGCCAGGATGCGTGTGGTGTATGTAGGCGTGTGTGCGTTTGAGGATATGGCTTGCCAGGATAGACGAGTTGAAGGAAGGTTTCGCCCACTCTGCCAGGACAGGATGGCATAGTGTTGTCCGACATCTCTCACTTCCAAACTGGCATCCACTCTCAACTGATATCCCTTCATTTTAGCAGCATTCCCCCTCTTTCTTTTCTTTACCCTTCCATGCACACCCACAGTAACAGTGTGTGTATCTGCTCCCAGTGCATTCTCAGCTATACAGGTATACAAACCTGCCTCGCTTTGGGTGACCTTGTTCATTTCCAGAGTTCCCTCAGGCAGCAGCCGGTAGTGTTGAGAGGGATTGCAGGCAGTATTATCCTGAGGCTGACCAGGAGAAAAGCTGGATGTGTTGTTGAACCCCTCAGAGGCGGTCAGGCTGTGGCAGGGAGCAGGAATTGGTAAACCCTTGGAGGCCTGGCTCGGTGCATGACCAAGTCTCAGTCCAGAGGGCATCACCCAGTACAGTTCAGGTTGTGGATCTGCAAGAGCTCGGCAGTGCAACACAAGTTTTCCTCCTTCTCTTACCCCAATGTAGGAAGGGAGAGAGTTGGTTGGGATCATGGGGAGGCACGAGGCCGACATCTCCCTGGAGGACACATCTCTCACCCTGCGAGATCTCAGCTCTGGGGGCTCAGAGCACAGCGTGGCCAGCGGTTGGATGAAACGCACCATCCGAGGTGTATGCTTCTCTGTCTGTCTGTCTTCAATGTGAGTGTGAGAGGCGTCCTCAGCGGCCCAGTGAAACAGGCAGTCGCATCGCAGTGGGTTGGAGTGTAAGCTGACCTCCTGAAGACTCGGCAGGGAGAGCATGATGTGCTGGTGAAGTGCGCTCAGGGAGTTGGAGTTGAGCATTAGACTCTCAAGCCTGTTCAGCCGGAGAAACGCCTGCGGATGAATGAAGGACAGTCGTGGGTTGTTGGTGATCTCCAGTTTGGTGAGCTCTGGAAGATTCTCCAGGGCGGCTCTTTCAATGGACACCAGCTCCTCCATGTTGTTCAAGCCGAGCTCTTTCAGATCTACCATGTCTCGGAAGTCTCCTGTCTCAACGAGTTTAATGCGGTTCTTGTTGAGGTCAAGGAACTTCAGTCCTGGCACTTTTATTAGGGCCTTAGTGGGGACCTTTGTCAGCAGGTTGTCATAGAAGGAGAGGCTCTCTAGGCCCTCCAACCCTTCCAGTGCGTTTTCAGCCAATCCTCTCAGCCCCATACCACCAAGGACAAGACTTCGGAGGGATTTCAGGGCCAGGAAGCCCCTTTCTGGAAGTGCCTCCACAGGGTTTCCACCAAGCATGAGAACTTCTAAGTTGGGCAAAGCCCTGAACCAGCGAGGGTCAACAGTGGTGAGCCTGTTGTTGTTGAGATGTAGACGCAGTAGGGAGGTGAGATCAGTGAAGGCTCCAGGTGCTATCACGTGTAAGTTGTTGTGGCTGAGGAACAGTTCCTGCAAAGCTGTCAGAGAGGAGAAGGAGGCCTCAGGGAGGTGACTGAGATGGTTTTCCTCCATGTGTAGAGATAGTAGAGAGGACAGGGAGGTGTTCTGACTTATTGTCCTGACATGGCTGAAACGGTTCTGGGAAAGGTCGAGGTCGGTGAGATTGGTCAGTCCATGCAGCACCGCGGTGTCAAGCTCCGACAGAAGGTTACTCTGCAGGCGCAGGGTGTGTGTGTTCGGGGGTAGGGGTAAGGGGAGCTTGGTCAAGAGCAGATCGTTGCAGTCCACAGTGGGAGCTTCATGGTAGACAGAGTCAGGGGAGAACCACGGCTTGATCTGACACACACACCGCACCGGGCAGGAGACGTGCCATGGTAATGCGTGAGGTAGCGAGCCCACAGCAATGGGGACACACACACCAACAAACACAAGCAGGAGACAGTGCAAATGTAGAAACACTAAAGTCGGCCTCATAATCCTCGCCGGTCACAGCAGCTGATTCAGACAAAGTGAGAAAGAGTTTTTTATGGGGATGTGAGACGAGTCATTTGGACCACAAATGGATGAGAAGTTGTGCAATTAACAGTTTTAAGGTGTGTCTGCAAAAAGGGCCAGATGGTTCATTGTCACTATTCATAAAATGTGAACAGATAGCAATTATATTGTTAACAGCCTTCTATAGCAGCCACAACACAACTAAAACAACTGAAGTGTTTATGTTCCTATTTGTAGTCAAGGACCCATGCGAGTGTTTTGACGTTTAATTTTGATTTCAGCAGTAGAGCATCTGGGGCTGCACAATGACTGAAGCTCGAAGACGGCCTTCGTTTTCACATTATCGATCTCACATCATGGCCACAGGTGGAGGACTTCCAGCGTAGTGGCTCGCTGTTTTATCAGAAACACAAGAAGAGAAAGAAAGTGATCAAGAGAGAGAAAGACATACATCTGCTTGATACAGTCTGATAAACCTCATCAGGTCCCACTCCAAAACAAATTGGTGTGCAGTGAATGTCTCAGCTATGAAGGTTACATAGAGTTTGCAAGGATGTACTTTGCAAAATGCTTCAGACAAGGGAGCAAGGGAAAGGTTAAGAAGAAGAGATGGATAAGCGAGAAGACAAAAGGTTAAAAACAAAAACAGAAGGTTATCTTGGTTTCAGAAAGGACCTTTGGCTTTGAATGCTTTAGCACATTTAGAAAAAAAACGAGAATATGGAAAAATGAAAAAAGTAGGAAGATCCCTGAGGAGGAGATAGAGAGATAAACCACTCTGCTGTCAGCTCCAATGTTTCTTACAGCCTACAGGAGAAAAGGTAAAAATGTGCGAGTGATGAAGTAATGTTGTACTTAAATATTTCTTGTCAGTGTTTTACATTCAGTGTTCAGTGTTAGAACAAAGCAACATATTATTTATTATGTAACAGTTGAAAAGACCCCAAGGATATTTTCTATTATCAGCCTTCTACACTTAAGGCTGTTATGAACGTAGCTGCTGCTGCTGCTGTAACAAATGCACACTCACAGACACACTCACCCACACACACATGGAGAGACACCATGAACACAAGTTACATCAGTGTTTACATTTAGCGCATTTGGCGGGCTCTCAAATCTAGAGCACGGTACAAGACCATCACATGAACAGATCATTGACTTGTTAGTGTAAAAGCTATCAACCTGTGCTCAACAGAATACTGTTATTTATCTGGAATTGTCTATCTAACTCATGAATGTAAGTCCAATTTTCATTCTCCATTTAGATCGGAGCTCCACCACCACCACAGGTCTGTGTTTAATCTGTTCAATAACTGCTGCTAACTTTGACTGGGTGCAGATAGGTACTATGCTGATAAGAGTGGTGAAGGTGAATCTAAATTCATTACAGTTACGGGTTATCTAACCAAACCCAAACAATGAGCTAAACAATCCTCTGAGGAGAACTGCAAATATCCACCACTAACATTGTAAATATGCTGCACTTACAGAAATGTGTGAATAGTTAGACATACTATATATTAGGGATGTCCCGATCACCTTTTTTTGCTCCCGATCCGATTCCGATCATTTGATTTTGACAATTTGCCGATACCGATTTTTCCCGATCCGATCTTTATGCAATGCATTAAGAGAAAAAAAAGCATTCAAGTTGTCCCTTAAGGTTATTTTTTTATTTAAATTGGATATTCTATCCAACATGGATATAGCTTCTTTCTTTCACAGCAGCATTGGATCAGTTCAGTTGTGCAGCATTGGATCAAAAACAAAATAAAGCTTTCAGTACTCGTTAGCTTACTGCTACAATTAGACACTGCGCCCTGCCCACTCTGTTGCCAGATTTGAGAGAAATAAGCAACCAGGTCTATGAAAACAAGCCCCAAAGAAGCAACACATACAGTACATGATGTTCTGTAATTTGAAACCAAAACTAAGGCCTCAGGATGACTTTAAGACTTGAACATGGTCATTTTTGTTTTGTAACATTGAATACAAAATTTAAAAAAAAGTATTTAAAAAAAAAAAATAATAAATCCCAATCCCCGATTTTTTTCCTCCCGATTCCGATCTTTTGAAAATCACGTTATCGGCTCCGATCCCTGATCAAGTGATCGGATCGGGACATCTCTACTATATATACATTTACTATACCTTAGTATTGTGAATATATCCGTCCTGATCAAAGAAACTTTAGTCAATCCAAGTCTAAATGAATGCAGTTGTGTAATTGACACATCTGTGAGAGAGAGGCTTTAAGTTTGAGAAGAGACACTCTCTCATTATTAATAGATGCAGTATACTTAGAAGTCATTTCAGTTTACCTGTCAGTCAAGTAGACATTGGGAGAGTGACATTTCAGATCTCTTCTAAACAATTATTTAACTGTCAGTCATGTTGTATGCAATACTGGTTTCCTGCATGACAAACAGACTCACACACACGCACACAGACACAGAGAGAAGGATTACTGCATAGTTGCCATGGAAACACATCTCCCATCCTCGCTCAGTCTCAGTGTTTTGAGATTCACTTTGGATTTTGTTTTGGTTTAGTAGTAGTTGATAAGAATGAGGAAACCTGCAGCATACATTTCTTATGCTGCATTTCCTCTTTGTCAATCGTCAAATGTGTCAATTTTCTGTGACAAAGTTCTGAGTTATCAATGAATGAATTTATAACCTTTTTCCAACACTTGCAGAGTATTTCAATCCTGGCAGCTGGTGTGATGAAATCATTACTAACAGGAAGTTCTTCACATCTCCACAGGCTGTACCTTCTGTTAGCTGATGAGGAGAAAGTCTGGAGAGATGCTTGCCAATAACTAACATTAGATTTATTGAGAAACGTGATAAGCATTCAGAAACCTTGTAGTTTAGGGGGACATTTTAGGTTTTAAGTGCAGCACGTTATCCAAGCTCTGATCGGTACAAGTCAGAAACACTGGAGCAGTTCTATCCTCCCGGGGCTCCTCTTAACTTTCTGTCTGCCATTCACTTTCATCTCCACTCTCTCATCTGTTCAAATGAAACCTGCTCAATAATGGATTCATCATTTAATTATGATGCCCTCCTTTTTTGTCATTTACACTCAAAAGATATGTTCTTCTTTTGCAGGAATCTATAACTCTTTGTAGACGTGTGTTTACAAAAGACTTGTGCTGCATTGTAATATAAACTATTCAGGAGCAATGAGCAATGAGGATGAGTATTAACAATTAAGAGAGAGAACTGCAATGACCTTAATCCAAAATCTGAAGTGACTCTCCAGTCGACTGAGGAAGTAGATGTTTTTCCTATACCTAGACCTATAATGAATAAATATTGATCTGACATGAAATAGTGAATGAATATAATTATGCTTTGTGTAATTGTAACTCTTGTCAACAGTTGTGGCTTTTGCCTTGAGTTCCTGTACAATCTATGTGTTGCTTTACAGTGTAAGAAATTACCCTATATTTCAAAAATATTCATTTTTTCACAAGCCCAAAATTGGGAACCAAAGTATTGAATGCTATGCTGGCAATACTATGATTGTACAACATGTTGTACGGTTGCTTCTAACAAAACAGGGACACTATCAGCGCAAACAAAAACATCTATTCAAGTCCAGCTGTAGCTCTTATGCATACTGTAAGTGGTTTTGTGCACCCAAAGAAAAGATGCCGTTCTGCTCCACATGCTTTACTTCTTTTTTTAATTGTTTGACCTGCATCTGTTTTTGGATATTAGATTATTATAATCTTGGCCAATTTTTTGTTTTTTTTGTCTTTTAAACCATTTGGGCATTATTCTCTTTTACATAAATGGATCTGTTTCCCTCTCTCAAACACCAAATTACCTATTCACATTTGCTAGACTTACTATATCTACTGTATATGTACCCGAGTTGGCTATGAAACTGTGAAATTAATTAAATAACCTTTATTTATTACTCTTGACATGTGTGACCACCTCATATCGCTTGACACATGTGTTTACCGACTTCAACACTTAACATTTGCTACAAGAGAGAGGAAAACAAGTCAATATGGCTAAGCAGCACTAGATTTATCTAATTAGATGGTGGTCTATATACTCTTATGGTTTACTACCAGTTTTGAACGTTTTGAGAACCTTAATGGGATGTAAAGCAACAGGATTGTCATTTCAGACCAGTCACATCAATGGTACTGCAAAAGTCAAACATGCCTCTCCTTCAGCTGCCTTTGACTTTGAAAGAGAGAAGCAGAGAGTGGAGGAAAAACTTTTAAGACGTGCATTTTCGTCATTGAATAAGGTTTAATCGTGCTGGCCAGCTACGACACAGAGAGACACTGCAACAGGGTGGAAAGGAGAGAGAGGGAGCAGGAGAGAGGGAAAGCAATAGAGGTGCGGGGTGTAGATTATAATAATAATACCAAATATTGTAAAACTAAAAGACACATATTGCCCTGCAGTTGAATCAGTTCCATCCTGCATGCAGACTATAAACAAATATAAGATGTTTAAGAGAAAAAGAGCCCTGACACACACACACACACACACACACACATGCTAGCACATCACCTTTGAATCATACTGCTTCCACTCAGAGTGCATGTGTAGCATCCACAGCTGCATGTCTGTGTGAGTGCTGCAATGACTGGCTTGTTTAGGGGTTCTTACCGCAACTGAAGCACCGACTACATCTCTCTGTCATTTCTTCATTTGCTTTCTTTGCAACTGCTTCACATTCCTCTTCTCCCTCTCAGTCTCACGTTGGTGGATCTCTTCAGATTCCTGATATATCTCTTCCCTAGCTCTCCTCTCTCCGTCACTAGAGATGAAGAGTAAATTGGCTCGGACTGAATCTCTCTCGCTCTCTCCCTCCAGTTAAAATGGAGATGAGGTGTGTTCTGCAGCAGAGCTTCTGTCCCTCTCATCTCTCCTCCTCTCTTTCTATTGCCTGCCTTACTCTCTCCCTCTTATTCTTTCCCTGTTTCACAAAGCCATTCGCGTTAGTTACAGTGTGTGATTGTTCTGGATGGAAAGTTTTCTTTGGGTCCTGCTTGCAATTTCCTTTGCAGATTAAAGACTGGCTCATTAGGCGCTTTCACACCGCAGTACTTTTCCCACAAAGGTTCATGAGAACTTAGTTCATCAGAACCAAAGAGTTCTGATGAACTAAATACAGATCGCGTTCACACCGGAATAAGTACCTGGGGTGGATTAGGCAAATGAAGCCACTGACGTCACTTCTTCTTCTTCTGCTTTGGGTTTACTGGCAGGCCGCAAACAACTTCACGGCGTATAGT